GAGTGGGTATCTTGAGTCTCCTTATGGGCTTCTGAGAGCCATCACTGTCCACCTTTGAGTATAAATCAGAAATGGGTTACTTCTGTCTTTTGAGCCATTTTAGATGATGCCCAATACCCCAAGGTCCCCAAGGTGGTTAGCAAATTGCCAGTGATTACTCACAGTCCTCTTCACTGGTAGCTGCTATCAAGGTGTGGTCCACATATTATAAGAGGGTGATCTGTGGGTGTCCTCCAGTATTTCCTAGGTCCTCGTGTAGGGCCTCATCAAAGGCGGTTGGATTTTTTTTTCTTCCTGTCTTCTTGCTTGCTTTGTCTTTTTACATTGTTTTTATTGAGCTATATATTTTTCTCCACTCCCTTCCATTCTTCTACCTTGCCCTTCTAGCTTCTCCCATGGTGCCTATGGTTGGTTGGGAAATTCTTGAACCCCTAAGACAACTTGGTCCAGGTCAGCTTTGTGTCTTTTTCTCAGGGTTTTGCCATTTAAAGGACTGGCATTTGGGGGCCAAGGGTAGCCTAAAGAAGGCATCTATAAGGTCTAACACTGAGTACCAAGCCCTGGTGGAGCTCAGAAGGGTATTATGGGTTGGGTACTGTGGGATGAATGTCCATAACCCTGTGGTTGGCTTCCCAAAGGTCCTACACAGGCTGGTAATCATTAGAATTGTGTTTAACTGTAAGGGAGGGGGTGTTCCAAGCAGACTGGCAAAAGAATCGGAATTCCCTTGTTCCATGAGGCGTATGTGAGAGGTGATTCCCTTCTTTGCTTCCTGTGACGTAGGGTATTGCCAAATCCGAGGTGCGTGGCATCAGGCTTGAGTTTGAGCCCAGGAGGTTGGCATCCAGCTAGGCCCATGTCCCTAGTCTCTGTGAAGGCCTCAGGATATTGAGTCAGCCATTTGGCTATGTCTTTGGGGGAAAGTGTTAGCCCTTGATGTAGCCTATATTTGTCCTCAAACTGGAGTGTGAGGACTAGGATTGGTTGTTCCTTTTGATTTGTAGTTGAGATTATTTTAATTGAATGAAATCTCAGCCCCAACTTAGAAAGTAAATCTCTTCCTAATAAGGAGTAAGGGCAATTAGGTATGACCAGGAATAAGTGGGACACCTGGCCCATACTGATCCACTACTTTTGGGTAGTCCATGAGTATTGGCTCATATTTGTGACTCCCTACACCCCAAAATTTTTGTGAGTCAAATTTCCTTAGGGTTTGGTCAGAACTGAATGTTGGGCTCCTGTGTCTATGATGAAATCTGTAAGTTTCTTCTCCACTCAGAGTTACCCTGGGCTTTAGGACAGGATCAAATCCCATCTCCCCTAATCACTGAGATCACCTGACTCTGCGACCAGTACATGAGTCACATCCTGAGTCACAATCTTTTGGGAGCATTCTTTGATCCAATGTCTCATCTTTTTACAGTATGCACATAGGTCCCTTTTCAGCCTAGGATGCTCTCTTGAGCGGGCAGAGGGTGTGTGTGTGTGTCCCGTTCCTTGATCTTTAACCAGGTATCTCAGCTGGCATCTCTTTTTGTCTGGGAACCCAGCTGTAACTGCTAGATTCCTTGCCATATTCTGGGTTTGTTTTGTGTTCTGTGACCATAGCTCTCATCTGTTTATCCTCTGAGGTTTCTCTGTTGTTGTAAACCTTTTCCACTATTGCTAGCAACTCCTGCATTCTTTTATCTGTTAGTCTGTCTATCCTCTGCAATGTACACCTATTATCTGGTATTGCCTGTTTGACAAATGCCATAACAACAGCTGATCTATTTTCCAGGGCCTCCGGATCCATGGGAGAGTAGGCGCAAAAAGCCTCCATGATCTGTTCTATAAAGGCCAATGGAAGCTGGGTGTGGTGGTGCACGCCTTTAATCCTAGCACTTTGGAAGCAGAGTGAATTTGAGGCCAGTCTGGTCTACAGAGCTAGTTCCAGGACAGGCTCCAAAGCTACAGAAAAACTCTGTCTCAAAAAGGAGGAGAACAAAAGAGGCTGACAGAGATTCTGAGATTTAGTCTTTTTCTGAAGAACATTACTGACCTTAGCTAAATTAGTGGGCCAGCACATTGCTATACCCCCCATTAGAATCTGGCGGTTGACCGGTTGACCTGGAGTCTCTCTGTACCTTATGTCTGGTTGAAATGGCAGTTCAGCCATATCAAGGGGAATCCCTGATCTATCAAGGCAGGATTAACAGTGGAGTTCCTATCTGGATCCAGAACCAATTTCCAGGCATCAGTCGAAATTCTTTTTCTTCAGTACTGAATAAAATCTGCAAAAAAATACTGGTTGGTTGGTGAGTGAAGATGACAGAATCTAGAAGGTTAATAAGTCCCTTTGGCTGTTTTGAAAACCCTGGGGTCTGCAAGTTCTAATTATAAAGATCACTAGTGGCAAAGGGCCAGTACTGCATTTGTTCATTGTCCTCTTCATCTTGCAGGCTGACTGCTCTCAAGGGAAGGACAACTCACCCAGGAAAACTCATTGTTGTTTCCCTTGTGTGTGGAGGACTACTTAGATTCACTTGCACTCTCCCCTCCTTCGGTCACTGGATTAGTTGGGGGAGAGGTCGATAAGGAGGAGGTGAAAGGAGAAGCTTGTCCTCAGTACCCTCTTGGAGTGTGGGGGGCAGAGGGCTTGTAGTCCTCCTGTCTCTTGCCTTCGTGAAGGGTGAGTATTGTCTTGCTCCTTGGCCCTGTAGAAACAAAAGTTTTAGCTAAGTGGGAGAATCCTCCATGAGGTCCTGCCTAGTAACTGTATCTGGTTAGGGTGTTGTGGTTTTTGGAAGATGATGTCGTTGGTCATAAAGAGAACATATAAGTGCAAAAGTTCCCTCTGGTTGCCATCCAGTTCCAAAGGCTGGCCATTCATTATTACATAGAAAATGTTAAGTTTACCTTTCTCAGTCTAAAAACCTGTGCTTTTGGCCCTATTTCTGTTGTACTGAAAGTGGTCCAAAATCAGGGTGCTCTGAGCCTGTCCCATAACATCAGTCTCATAGGTCTAAAGAAAACAAACAGCATGACAACATACAAGACAGTGAACAAATTGGTACCTGGAGGCAAAACTGAAACTGAGACTCTGGCTTCATGCTGGACCATGTGAATATGACCCACACCTTCCCAGAGATACTAATGGGATCCAATACCAGGCCCCCAGTCTGTGGTCTTGCAGTGTGTCCTCCCAAACCTGATACAGCACAGCAAGAGAGACGGAGAGAGAAGTGAAAGTACAAGAAGACTTACCAGCTGGCCAGAGGCTCTATGGTCAGAGGTCTTGGTCGACTTGCTTGGGGGATCCCAGACGAGCTCCCAAATGTTACACCCATGTTAAAATCCCTCAAAGACCACCAAGGAGTTCAAATCCATATACAAAAGCAACAAGCCTTTATTCAAGCTCAAGCTTGGACCCTCCTGCTCTGCTGCAGCTGTTTGATTAGAGAGCCCCATCAGGGTTTCTAACATAGCATGGATTGGGGTAAGGAATTTCCATCATCTAAGACACTTGATTTGCCTGGGGCTATCTTGGCAAAAGGACATTGGTACGTGCTAGGCTTACGGACATCTGGTGTCCCATTATCTATTTTGGTTGGATGGGTGGAACTTTAGGTACTTTCCCTCTGGATGCTGATTGGTCTGTTCCTGGGTGGTGTCATTTTTTTTTATTATTATTTTTTGGCTTTTCTTGGAACAGGGTGGTTGCTTACAGTAATCTGAAACTTAAGGTAACTCCAGTGGTTGGTTCTGTAAAGCCTGGAATGGTTAGTCTGTCTTTGACCTCTAGAGGTGAAGCTTGGAGACTTGGATGGGTGAGAATCATTGGAAAATTTAGGCATTGCTAGGGTTTGGGCCTGGAATGTTTCCCAAAAGGCTTATTGTGGCTTGAGGCTTGGTCTCTGTGGTGATATTGGTAGATGGGCTGGAGGCTTAGGCCATGTCCATAAAGGACTGCAATACTGTGGCCTTTTCTACTTCTAACCCTGATGAAATGGCTTCCTTTGTCATACTTTCTATGTATTGGGACTTGTTAGTGACTAAGTAAAGCAGCCAAAGGGGTAGATTTTTGTGCTGATGCACTTTTAGTGTACTCTTATTTTGGGCTAAAACACTATTGTACAAACTGGGCATTCACAGGAATGCAAGAATGTTCCCTTTCTACAGTGCCTTGCTTTTAAGGATAAACATGGGTCTTTGTGCTGGTAATTTTTTTTTTTCAACTTGACTCAAGTTAGAAACAACTGGGAAGAGGGAGTCTTCTGTAAGGGATTGTCTACATCAGATGGCCTGTAGGCAAGTCTGGGGAGATTGTATTGATTGATGTGGGAGGACCCAGCTCACTATGGGTGTTGCCATTCCTTGATGGGTAGGCTGTAAGGAGCGTCCCATTAATTCTTTCATGATATCTGTTTTCTAGAGACCCTTGGTGACAAGACTGTGGCATGGGAGTATAAGCTAAATACCAGCCCCAGTTGCTTTTGATCAGAATAGAAAGCAAGCAAAAGCAGCCTCCCTAATAAACTTCTTTATCTTTTGCTTGGGGAGAACACAGCTTTGCAGATTCCCAAGCAACCCCTTGCCTTCTGCAGGTACTCTTTCTCCACTCTTTCCATGTCTGTTTTTGTTCATTTTGACTGCACGGTCACTAAGATTGAAATCCATTGCTTTCCCTTATTAGACCAATTGGACTGAAATTGTCACAAAACTGTTGAGTCCAGAGAAACTTTCCTGATTTAAGTTACTTTAGGACTTTTGTTGCAGTAATGGAAATCAATATAGGTAAGTATGCCTTGTCTTGGGGCTGTGACTTCAATTATCTAGTACAGTACCCAGCATTCTGATATTCATAAGTGTGATTTTTGCTAGAGCACTCGACCCCTTGAGTCTCAGAGGCAACATGGTAAGAAACTTGAGGGAAAAGGGGGCATTTGCCTAGCATGCCCAGGACTCTTGGTTTGATCTCTAGCACGCCAAAAGCAAAAAGCAACAAGCAACTGAAAGAACTGGCTCTGGTCAGCTGTACTAACGTAGCTATCACGTTAAGGGACAGTCTTTGGCTCCTCCAGAAGGACAGTAAGTAATGGTCAGACAGACTTTCGTTACTGGTTGTCTTTCCACCCTTTGTTCCTTCACACAAGGTTTAGTTCATATTGTCATCCCGTTGTATACAGGTGGCAGAAATCCCTCAACTTAACACTGCATCCCATAGCTCTTTCTTTAACGCTCTTAAGGGAAGTTCGTTAAATAAGTATGGATTAATACTGGCCCAAAAAGTTGGTATGAATTTTCTTCATTCTCTGGTTAAGAGATATGAGTTAGCTGAAAGAATTAAACCAAATCCAATACATATGTAAAATGGACCATTCTGAGAATGTTTACACTTCATTATTATCAGTACATTAAAATTTTATCAGCAGTACATTAAAAAACTTTGGTAACTTTTTTTGCCTTTGGCTTTTATTGTTTATAGGCATGGATGTTTTGATGTGTATATGTCTGCACCATGAGCGTGTACTCCCTGGGACTCCAGTTACAAATGGTTGTGAGCTGCCACTTGGATGCTGGGAATCAAACAAAGGTCCTCTGGAAGAGCCACCAGTGCTTCTGTGTCTGTTTTCCATTTTGTTTTTCCAAGATAGCTAGAACTACACAGAGAAACCCTGGCTTTGAACTCAAGAAATCCTCCTGCCTCTGCCTCCTGAGTGCTGGGACTAAAGGCATGCGCCACTTCTGCCCGGCTCAACCAGTGCTTCTTAACCACCAATCCACAGTTCCAAATTTGGTAACTTTTAAGCTGGGATTTTATTAGAGTTTAGCCCAGGAACAGTTTGTTGCAGAACTATGGAGTTTATTAGCTTTCAGTTTCTCACCAGTTTGTTGACTGTCGTCTTTATAACTTATAGAAACAAGAGTAGAAACACAAGAAAACAAGACAAGGTGGTTCACTCTTGTGTTTTTCTTTTATTGTTTGGCATGTCCAGAATAAATGTCACAAAACATTTTTATAATTGGGAAAGACTGGTCTGGTTACAGAGCACTACAGAAGCTTTTAAAAATTCTATTGTGAATTTCAACTTACTTTAAAACGGAAAGGAATTGATGGTAATAATTTTCAAAATGAGCTTTTATGTGTTTGCTGTGTTTAGTTTCCTGTGTAAATCTAGAAAAGAATGAATCTGTAAGTCTAGTTTAAGGACTGACCAGATGAATTAATGTTTGGTTTCATGAAGAATCACTCAGGTTCCTATAGAGGAGATGGCAATACATTAAATGATATTGATGTAGGTGAAAATATTAGGCACTTTGAGAGCACGGGTACACACCGATGTCTCCTGAAATGCTGCCTGCAGAGGACAGATTCAGACACTGCAAACTGATGGAAATCTTGAGGTGCTTAGATAGCTTCCACGTAGTTGGCTGGGAGCATGCCGGTCCTGCCGGTCCTCTGCACAGTGCCATACATCCAGCCTTCATCAATCGCTTGAGCATTCACTATAGCATCTCCATCTTTGAAGGACACTTCATCTGCATCGGCAGCCATATAGTCATACATGGCACGGAAGATTTTCTATTCATGGGAATGAAAACAAAGAAAGTATACTGATAAGATATAACCTTTTTGATAAATTTATGTATGCGGCTACCACAAATACAAAACAAAAACCACCAGTAACAAAACAAAAACCTTATAAAATATTTGTAGGTCATATGTTGATTTATGAAGGTCTCCAACTCAACACCAGAAGTATTATTTAAGATGCTAAAGTTATTGATGTGGGAGTGTCATATCAATCTGTTGATTTCATTGGCTGAGCAATAAAGAAACTGCTGGCCCTGATAGGTTAAAAGATAGGTGGGCGGAATAAACAGAATAGAATTCTGGGCTGAAGAGGAAGTGAGGTCAGACTCTGCTCTGCTTCCAGAGGGACCGGACAGGGGAAGCCATGCTCTGCTCTCCCAGGCAGCTCCAACCCACGATGGACTTAGGCTAGAATCTTCCCGGTAAGTGCACCTTGGGGTGCTTACACACATCATTAGAAATGGGCTAGTCCAGGTGTGAGAATTAGCCTGTAAGGGTTAGAGTTCATGGGCCAAGCAGTTCTTAAATGAATACAGTTTGTGTGTTATTTCGGGCATGAGCTAGCCAAGCGGCCGGGGTGTTGGGGATGCAGCCCCGCCACTCTTATTTCAACAAGTTATGAATAAACACTTCTCCAAAGCAAATAACACGAGTGAACAGTTAGGGGGAACAGAAAAAGATGTTTCACTTATTTTTTTTGGTTTTTGAGACAGGGTTTCTCTGTGTAACAGTCCTAGCTGTCCTGGAACTCGCGTTGTAGACCAGGCTGACCTCAAACTCACAGAGATCTGCCTGTCTCTGCCTCCTGAGTATTGGGGCTAAATGCATGCTCCACCACACCCAGGCAAGATGTTTTACTCTTATTCCCACTCTCAAGCTACCTACTGATTTTTCTTGCTGGAGAGGGCTCAGTCATTAAGAGCATGTCCTACTCTTTTGGAGGCTCTGCTTCCTAGAACCTAAGCAGTGGCTCACACTGTAACTCCAGTCCCAAGGGATCCAGTGGTCTCTTTTTACCTCTGCACTCACGTGGGGCACATAAATAAGTACAGGGAAAACACTCATAAAAATAAATCTTTTAAAAGTGTAATAAAAGACTCTGGAGGGAGCAGAGGATGTCTTCCTAGAGGAAGTCCTGAGTGCATGTGTACTGTTGACATGGCGTGGTCATACGGAAACAAAGGCCATTCACCATATGGGCTAGGCGGAAACTGAGGGCAAATCTTCCCTCAGGTGTCCTACTGATGTTTGTGGACAACTGGCCACCTTGTACAAGACAAAAATCTCCTTCTGGATTTTTTTTTTTTTTTACAGCCTGAGACTGCTCAGTGACCTCCTGACCCAGCAAAGTAGCCTTGCAGAGAACATTGGGAGCAATATTTTGGGTGGAAGAATACGCTACAGATGAAGCTTTAATTACTGAAGTGCAAAATAGGACTAAGGCAACAGACAGCAAGCAACTCCACTCCCGAAAGTTGGTATTTATTGCTTCGAGTCTCTGATCAAGAGAAATGGTTAAGCTGAAAGGATTAAGAGATAAAATACGTATTTCTGCTGTCTACAAGAAACTCACCTTTAAAAACATAGGTACCACCTGAGAGTGAAATGATGGAAAAGAGTGTTTCAGGCAAATGAGGCTAGGAAGCAAGCAGGTGTAACGATCCTACCTGACAAGTCTTTCTTTCAGGAAGTGATGTCAGTGGAGCGGTAATGCTACCCCTATGAGCCATAGACTGATACAAATTCTAGTACCAGGTATGGAAACCTCCTTTAGAGTTGATGGCAGAGTAGCCCAAGAGATCTCCAAAACCTATGCTGATTGACTTTGATTGATCCCCATAATTTGAAAGTAAGTGCCTGTTGATGAAGACACCACCCACTTCAGACACAGGGCTTGTGGAAATCCAGCTGGATTTGACCTCAAGGTCTCCTCCCGGACGGAGGACTAGCTCTTATAACATCTGAAGGAGCCATGCAAGCTGCGGGAGGAGAAAGATCAACAGGCTCACCCAGTAAGAATGCTTAAGGGCTACAAAAATGACCAGCACAGCAAGACATTCCTAAAAGGTAATAATGGCACTTACTTATGTCTTGGTCATAACCAACAGCGGTCTAACTAGACCTAAGGCCTACTCAGTGGATAGTTAACATGCATGGAACTATATACAGCTCGTCAACTACCCAATGGAGCCTAGAGGAGAATCTGTTACTGTCTCTTTCCTAAACCAGTATAATCTCTTAACTGCATTCTAAATACTTACAAATTCTTGTACCTGCAAGTCAGATTTTATCTTATCTCTTATGCCCCAAAAAGAAGCCAGAGGACCAGGATACCTGCTTCAGGATTGTGCCTAATACAATCCTGAATGGGGATGTTGCACCCATGAAACCTCAACAATATGGCTGCCTAAGCAAGACTTCAACAATTGGGAGAAATCTTACAAGGCCAGTCCCCTAAAGGAAGAGCAATAGGCAATGAATGCGTGAGGAGAATCGGTCTGGAATAAGCCCGTAATTGGTTATCTAATACTAAGTGGTCAGCCCTAAATGTATATACATGTGAGCAACTCTTTATGGACCTAGCAGGACGAGTTTGCATATTTCAGTCAGAATTGAAAAAAAACAAACAATACACAAGTCTAGCAATTTTGTGTCCATTACTCTTTACTTACTCCGGCAGTAGATGGGTGGGAAGGGATAGAAGACAGCGTGGTCTGCTGGGTGGCCGCGGAAGATGACCGCTGCTGCGGGAGCTCAGTGGTTTTCACATGTTTGTAAGCTGCGAAGATGAAAGAAACAGTTGGTCAAGGCGTGTGGCAGACACTTTGGTTACCAAGCAGGGTTGTCCTTTCTTCAAATTAATGACTCCTGCTAAGAGAAGAGCTAGGAAAGTTATGAGAATTAACCATGTAGCTTCGTGTAACTCTTTGCCCAGAAAAATAATTAACTTTTAAATTTAAAACATTGCTTAGTAACCATCAGTGAGCTGACCTCATGATAGTCAGTCCATACCATCCGCTTGATTTGGTTGGTGTCATGTTTGTTGGTCTGGACAAATTCTCTGCGTGGCAAGGCTGGCCTCAGGTGTGCAGGACCACGCCCATCTGGGAAAGTCTACTTGTACCTGATGATGAGGTGGCCGAGAAGAAGGCAGCTCCATCTCTGTAGGTGGAAAGGCGCTGGTCCGCGGAGTGCTCAGACTTTTCCTCACCCCCACTGATGCTCATTGCACTGGCGGACCGTGACTGCTCCCGGCTCCGGCGAGCTTGGGCTGGGAAACAGGAAAGACAGGTTTCTTTCTACAGCAGTGACGCCTCCGTCATGTCGTTTGTTTTTGTGGAATGTAGCTCTAAGTGGTTTCCTGTAACTTACATGCAATTCTTCTAGCGTGGAGTTGTTCTCCCTTTCAGATGGGAGATTAATTGGTCAAAGCCGACGTAGGTGGCAGAAGGAGGTTTCAGACCCTGTCTGCCTTTAACTACAGGGCCTTCCCACCACCGCATTCCTTTTCCTGGCTCACTTCAACGCATAGAGGGCAAACACATTCACAGTTTGGTTTCTCCAGAAAGGCCTCCCTCACTTCCAGATAAATGGAAGTGTCTGTCCTGTGTCCCATGGTATTGCGAGCACAGCCTTAAAACTGTGTCAGAGTATTACCAGGAGTCCCTACTGGTCTCTCTTTATCCATAGCATACTTAAAAAGAAAAACCCAAACAAACATGGAGCCCTGGTTGGTCTGGAACTCAATGTGCAGAACAAACGAGGTTTGAACACAGATCTGCTGGCCTCTACCCCCATTACTGGGACTAAAGGGATACACAATCTCTGACCTAGTGGTTTATTTTCTATATAGGCAGACGTGTGAATAAGTGCCATGACTCTTGCAAAGATCCCCCTAACACAACCAGCTCAAGAGGCTCCTGATGAACATTTGTTCTCTTCTCTTTGTCTATGTATTTTTACTGTCATCTTTAACTTACTAACTTTTCTCTTTAGGAAAACACAGAAATGATAACAATGGGATCTGAAGGACACATGAAGTCAAACAGTTTGTCAAGATTTTCTCCTAAATTGAACGTGCTTAGTTTGGCCCACAGAAGATGGGAAACCCTGGCAGGAGGAAACGCTCATTGGCTGTAGTCCGCTAGATGGTGATGTTTCTGTCCCGCATCTCCAGGAGTCTGCGTACCGTTAATCATGTGTAAACTCCGGGATTGGATTTTGTCTTCTGCTGGATCGTAGTCAAAGACTGAGCCAGGGTTAGTACGCCAGACACGCAGACCTGAAAGAAAGCCAGCAGTCAGGAAAAACAATATATATGTTCTCACATTTGTCTGTAACTTGAGAACCAAGCAGGACAAAGCTGGCAGAAGATGCCTGTGAGACCTCAGCTTTGAGAACCGGCTAATGGGGCTTTCTTTCACAGATCTGTGTCCTTCGTCTTCCGTTTGGTGTAACTGTCCCTTTGTTGTCAATTACCTGTGACAGTATCTTGATCCTGGTCATTCCGTTTCTGTTCCATCTCTACTACTTTTCTTTGAATACCTCGGTAGTTAATGTCACTGAAGTCCTGTGTGTTTTTCTTCACTCGTTCAGTGATGGGGTCTGTCACCACTGGTGTGAAACAGCCTTTGTGTTTCTCAAAGTCTTCATGATATTTTACCTGAAATATGAATTTACTTTGTGAAAATATGATAGTGTAACCAATCTCTCAGACATGTTCCAGCATCAGAAAGTTCTTGCTGCTGGAGAGATGGCACAGCAGGTAAGAGAGTGTGTTGTTCTTGCGGGGAACCTGGGCTCAGTTCCCAGCACAAGGCATTTCACAAACATATTTAACTCCAGTTCCAGGAGCTCGGATATTCTTCTGGCTTCTGTAGGCACTGCACACACAAAGGAAACATACCGACAGGCAGGCACATACATACAAAAATAAATTTAACAACTAATTCCCGACTTACTGTTGAGATGTGCCGTTGGGTTTCCCTCACTCGTCTCATCTCTGGTGTGTCTAGCACGTAGGCAGCTTTGCCTTGTATTTGTTTCCGGAAGCTATCAGAATAAAGGACCTATGGAGGAGAGACCATGCGTGAGCACACAGCATGGCATCGTTTTCATTCTTAAGTTCATTGACTTCAACACTTTCATTTAAATGGAAGAAATTGGTGAGGGAAGTCGGAGTCACCAGATGGTGGCCAGATACTGGATTAGCAATTTACCAGATTGGAGCAAGGACATGCAAGGCCTGCATCAGTAGACACAAAACTTGTTTTGACTTTGAAAATGAGAGGTTTCATTTTCAAAGGAGAAGGGGCACAGTACAAGTCTGAAAGAGAGGAAGAAAACGGCCTCTCGAATTTACTAGGAATCGCAAAACCACTGCCGGAATATTTGGTGGTATTTACATTAAATCTGATACCGAAAGGAGTTTGAAAGACCTGGCCTTTGAAGCAGGTAACCATTAGATGTTGTCCAGATTACACAAACCGATATGCCCACACCAAAATCAGTCTTCCAGACACTAAACACAAGAATATCAAAGTGAAAATAGTCATTTCTGGGCCTGTTCCCCATTTAATAAAGTACCTTAGCAATAATAGCAGAAGGTAGAAGATGTTAGGGGTCAATTTGTTATGGCTGGTTATGAAAAACTACCTGAGTCCAGTGTCACAGGAGAAAATCCATAGGCAATTATCGTATGCTTAGTATGATCATTTGGGATGGAAAAGCACTGCTGTGTTAATTTTAGTGTAAATTTTCAGGGAACCAAGTGCACATTTTTTATGATGTTAAAAGATTTCCCAAGATGTTGCATTATCTGTCTTTTTAAGTTTTAGTTTTCAGTTTTAAGTTTTAAGTTTTCAGGTGAACAAAGGCGTGTTTTCATCATGTTAAAATGTTAATTCCAAGTTGTTCCACTGCTCATACTAGTCGGGAAATACCGAGCTAATGTTCTCTTGGTTGCGCTTAGCTCTCTCCATCTCTGGAGTGACAGGTGTCGGAGTTGCTTTTCTCATATTCTCTTTGTACAATACCTAGAGGAGCCAAGAGAGTATCCCGACATCAGAAAGCAAAAGAAAACACAGGCTTGAAAAGTCATTTAGCTGTGGTTATGGCTCAATTATGTCACGCAGTATGAGAAACACCTCAGGAGGAGAAAGCCATTAAAATGTTATAGTGGAAAGCAATAACTCAAAGGCCCGAACTCAGTGACAACTAGCAAGGTTGGGTTCTTGTTTTTAAGTGGCCAAGGAAGAATTTTAAATGGTATCAAGTCTTGGAAACAATGTGAGAGAAATTAGTGGTATTGCCATGATGGTCAGGCTTGTTAGGATTTTAATGTTTTTTTTTTTTTTTTCCTTTCAAATACCGAGCTAAAGTTTTCTTGATTGCGTCTGACTCTCTCCATCTCGGGGGTAAAGGGTGTGGGGGTTGCTTTCCCCATGTTCTCTTTGTATAGCACCTGTGAGAAACAAGGCGGTACCTAAGTCACTCACTAGGAGGCAATAAATACAGTTGGGGGTGGAGGGACATATCAGGTGTAACTTGTTGCTATTAGTGAGAATAGCTCTCAGGAACAAAGCAAAGGTGGTTAATGGCAGTGATAAATGTGTGTGGTATTTAGAGGAGAGTAACCGAACTGGCATTCAATTTGGTTTTTAATTTTGGATGGGATTAAGAGCAGGCCAAACTGCCAAGAGTTACTTTGTAAAATTAGAAGCACTTTCATTTCTCAAGACAATACCGAGCTAATGTTCTCTTGATTGCGTTTGACTCTCTGTATCTCTGGAGTTACAGGGGTTGGGGTGGCTTTCCCCACATTTTCTTTGTACAAAACCTAAAGGAGTCCAGCAGATCCAAAAAAATCCAAAAGGAGACAACAAAAAAAGAGTTACAATTACCAAAAGGAGAAACCGAATAATACATTAACTTTCGATAAGGCCTTGGGCACCAAATCAGTTAGGCACTGAGGTTAGATAGCAGTCCATGTTTTCACAGGAGAAGCTGATTACAGTTAGAGCAAAACACATGTTTCTGTGGTACAACCTTGCCCTAAAGCTTGCAGATTTCAAATGAGGACTGTGATGTCCCAGAAAAGACACAGTCCTGCCATCATTTCACCATGGGTGCATGACTGTCAGACCCCTGGTACATCATCTAGTCGGGAGTTACCATGAGGGCTTGTACCACAGAGGTTGAAGTTGCCCCAAGACAACAGTTGTTTAACGGGTATTTTTGCAGCACAGGCTCTCATACAGAGTAAAATTACAGATCCCGGGCAAGTGTTTCTCTTACTCTTCTTTGTCTTCTGCTTATTCTATTTACTAAAGAGTCCACATGTATCAGCCATGAAATGTTTTCAACAATTACATGACCAGCGTGGAATAGCAATAGACACATGTCCTGTTAAATCCTCAACCTCCGTGTCTTCCCTGGTGTCTTCTCTAGGTGACCTGGGAGATTTGGGACATGGCACTCTGGAGGGAGTCTCTTCCCGCAGTTCTCCAAGTCCTTGAATAGCGGGCCAGTGTCAGCGGAGAACTTACTAGAAATGCCTGCTTTCTGCTCCATACTGACCAAATGAAAGGAGCCCGGGCCAGACCCAGAAACCTGGTTACATCAGCTTCCAGGTGATTCTGATGGCGAAGCCTTCAGGTGATGTTAACTGCTGAGTAATAACTTCTCTACTGAAAGCTAATGTCCCCACAGACTTTATCCTCCAGCCACTGACAGGTTACTAGCAGAGAGCACAAGCTTGAAGGAAATAGATTGTTATAGTTATCGCTAAAGATCAGAATGAAGAGAACAAAATCAAAATGAAAATCATTGAAGACAAAAAGCCTTTTTGGTGACACCCTCCTTTTTAAGCAACTTATTCAAATATGAGAAACACCACTGGATTGCGTTTACATCACTGTCTGTGGAAGAAAATCAGGAGTTACTTTCCCAAGCTTTCTTTGCCTACATCTGTGATAGTAGGGTTTGGAACATAGCTCAATGTAAGATCCCATCTTAACCTGTGTAAGGCCCTGCGAACTGATTCAAATCTGGTGGGGTGAACCCCAAACCATCAAATGTCAATATTCAACAAAGCCCCATTATACCTCCTATTGCACCCATCAAGGTCCCCCCAAGTTTTTCAAGCACATAAGGAGACCGTGGGTACATCAGAGAGTAAGTCTGGGAGAGATAAGCAGAAGGATATTTTGTAGGAAAATTTGTTACTTCGATATTAGAATTTTAAATGGAATAAAGCAATTTTGTTATTAAGTTAGGGCTAGGAACGAAGGATAAACGTAGTCAAGAAATGGACAACACTTAAGGTGCCTTTTAAAAGTAGGATTAATAGGAATTATTTTAAATCACTGAAGTAGTTTCAAAATCATTAAAGAAGTATCTTTTTTTTTTTTTTTGTCAGAGTACCGAGCTAATATTTTCTTGATTCTGTTTGACTCTCTCCATCTCTGGAGTGATGGGTAAAGAGGTTCCCTTGCCCAGGTTTTCTTTGTATAGCACCTGTATGATGATAAAGCATCAGAGAAAGCAGTGGTAAGTGGCATTTCATTGAAAGATAAGGTCAACTTCTTTGGTCTAAACACAGGAGCCAGGAGTTATATGCTGGCAAGCTGCTGTGTGCTATTTAAGGAAGCTGTTACTGGGCTAGAAAGCTGTGTGCCGCAGAAGCAAGACCCTAAACTGATAGCTAGCGAAGGCTAGTCGAGTCATCCCCACTGTTCTTCACCTTTGCGAGTTCCGCACTTCCTAAGCAACTGCGGGGATTTGAGATGGTTAGAACTCGGTTTTGTTATCCCTCAAACTAAAATATATTAACGTCTTTAAAAGCATCAGGTGAAGTAACAGAGGTCCACACATAAAACTGAGAAAGAAAATCAGATCCGTTAGAAGCAAAGGAGGGAGGAGGGCTTAATGGTGAGTTCGGATCTGGAGTTAAATGGCATCTTTCCCCCCCCCACTTCTTTCCAATACCGAGCTAAGGTTCTCTTGATTGTGTTTGACTCTCTCCATCTCGGGAGTGATGGGTATTGGAGTTCCTGTCCCCAGGTTTTCTTTGTATAGCACCTAGGTGATGAGAAAGCATGCAGAACAGAAAGAGCTGTCAATCACTGTCCTGTGGAGCAGCTGACTGTGGGAGGGTGGGGAGGAAGAGGAGTTAGGGATGGGTAAGTACCAAAGCTGCAACCTGGAAGGCAACGGATTGCAGGAAGGAGCCGCAGAGATGAAGACATTAAAGAGGTTCTGTTATGTTTGCTGTTTGAATTTCTGCAGCATAGGCAATAAAGATCACTCCGAAGGGAGAAATTAGTTGTTAACACTATGAGAGGAAAACGGGGGTGGGGTGGGGTGTAGCAACCAAACCAAGAAAAGTTATTGTCATAAATCATGTGAAAGATGTTTGAGTTTCATCTATGGGAAGATTGATACATACTTTCATTGAACATACTTTCATTGACTTTCCAATGAAGTCAAAGTATTTAATTTTTAGTCCTGGTGAACATATTCAGAACAATTGTGTTAAGATGCTAGAGAAATGTCAAAGGACTATATAGGTGCCAGGAGAGCGGGAGGTTAGGATAGGAAAGGAGTCGGAGACCGGATCTGCACAGAATGGAGCTTTTGAAACTGTGTTCACATTACATTGCCAAAGCAAGGTAAACACAGACGCCGAGACACCGAGGCTGTTATGTTTTTAAGCTGGGATACTTTTAATGATCAGGTTAATGTTTAACCGAGGTGTGGAAACCGACTCATAGGAAACGGCAGCATTAAGTTTGATACCAAACAGGTCATATTTTAAAAACTGGGGTAAGTTAATTAGATTTTAAAGTTCCAGTCATTAATCTTTTAAAAAGCGTTTTAAAAACAGTTAAAGGGTTTTTGGTTGTTTTTTTTTTTT